GCGTCTTGGGCAGAATGCGGCGGCCGCGCACGAGGGCCACACACACACACCGCCAGACCCGCGCGCGCAAAGGCACCGGGGCGCCTCCTTCGCCGCGGCGCAGGGGGTGGGGGCCAGCGCCCTCCTCCCTCCGCCCGAGGGACCCCCGCAACGGCCCGGCGAGTGCAATACGAAATCGAGGGGCGCCGGCACACATGCGCACACAAAACTAAGTGCGGAGGGCAACGACCCACATGCGCCGCGCCTTCTTTTTTTCCCCCCTTTCATCTCGCCCCGCCGGGGAATGCGACGAGGCGGAGAAAAAAAGGAGTAAACCAAAACAGACGCCGCCCGTTTACTTCACGCACGCGGCGTGCGACGGCGCTGCGGCCGTCCCCGGATGCAGGAGGAGGAGGAGAAGGGAGAAAACACCGCAAGAGCAACAAGTGGGTCCGGGCCGCCACACACACACAACGGCCCGGGGGCCGGGCGCGGAACAACACGCACGGGACGGAAGCAGCAGAAGGGCGTGCGTGAAGATACCGCAAATAAAATAAAATAAAGAATCATCCACCCAACACAAAGCAGACAGGAACGCGTCATGTGTACATCGACGCCGGGCAAAACGTGGGCCTGTAGCTCACAAATGCGGGCGGGCAGCTCGCGTGCTTCCTGCTCCCAGCGACAAGGCCCCGCGTGGCGGGCACCAAAGTCACATCCGGGTGGCACTGAAAAAAAAAAAAAAGAGCAGCCAAACCCCTTCAACCACCAACCGCGTCTTCTTTGAAACAACCAAAAACCAAAATAAACTAAAGAAGTTGCTAGCTATTAAGACAAGAAACCCATGTCACGTTTTCCCGCATACCCCCTTCAGTCGTTACTCAACCAACACAGAACAGAAAAAGGTAAAAAAGTACTGCAGTCCCCCGCTGGGCCTCGTGCGAAGCTCACCGGCACTTACTGCGACCGCAGACTCACACACACAGAGAGAGCCGTCACAGACGCTACCGCGGGCGCAGTTTCGCGCGCGGAGAGATTCGCACCTAGTCAGCAGCATTACAATCCCAAACGTTTTTTTTATACCTATAACTAGTGGGCTAGTGTTCGTCATATTGCTGCTGTTTCCGCCCCTTCCACTTTCGTTCCGCGCGTCCGGCAGAGACGGCTCAAACGACGCCAAGTTCCTTCATCGCCTCCGCGACCTTGACGAAGCCGGCAATGTTGGCGCCATTCACGTAATTCGTCTTGCCACCCTCCGTGCCGTACTTCACGCACGCGCCGTGGATGGAGTTCATGGTTCCGTGGAGTTTTTTGTCCACCTCCTCCGCCGTCCAGCCCAGGCGCATGGCGTCCTGCGTCATCTCCAAGCCAGAGACGGCGACCCCGCCGGCGTTTATGGGCTCCGTCGTCGCCTCCATCGTCGTCGGCATGTTTGCGCCCTCCACCACAGCGAGGACGCCGTTCCGGATCAGGCTCTTTGCGTCCTCAAGCTCCAGCTCGTTCTGCGTCGCGCACGGCAGCGCAATATCCGCCTTCAGGTGCCACGGTCGCTTCCCTGCGTGGTACTCTGCGCCCACCTGTTTCGCGTACTCCTCCACGATGCCGTGCCTCGCGCCCTTGATGTCCATCAGGGTCCTCAGCTTCTCCGGAGTGAAGCCCGCCGCGTCGTGCGCGCAACCGCGCGAGTCCGAGACGCTGATCACCTTCGCCCCCAGCTGGAGGCACTTCGCGATGGCGTGCTGCGCCACATTGCCGGCCTCCGACACGAGCACCGTCTTCCCCTGCAGCTCCTGCTGGTGCCGCTTCAGGACGGCCTCCAGGAAGTAGACAACGCCGTAGCCCGTGGCCTCGGGGCGCATCAGGCTCCCTTGAAACGCAACGCCCTTCCCCGTGAAGGTGCAGGCCTTGCAGTTCGTCAGCTTCTGCGTCATGCCCGCCATGTAGCCCACCTCGCGGCCGCCGACGCCGATGTCGCCGGCGGGAACGTCCGTGTCGGCGCCAATGCGGCGGAACAGCTCCGTCGCCAGGGCCTGGCAAAACCGCATCACCTCACGCTCGCTCTTCCCCTTGGGGTCGAAGTCCGAGCCGCCCTTGCCGCCGCCCATGGGGAGCGTCGTCAGGGCGTTTTTGAAGCTCTGTTCGAAGCCCAGAAACTTGAGAATCGACAGGTTCACGGAGGGGTGGAACCGCACGCCGCCCTTGTAGGGGCCGATGCAGGGGTTGAACTGCACGCGTCACGCCCGGTTCACCCGCACCTCGCTCTTGTCGTCCACCCACGAGACGCGGAACTGGACGACACGCTGGGGCTCCACCTGGCGCTCCAGCAGCGCGTCCTCGCAGTACTCCGGATTACGCTCCAGGAAGGGCCAGAGCGACGTCACGACCTCGCGGACCGCCTGCACGAACTCGGGCTGGTGCACATTGCGCCGCCTCACGCACGCGGTGATGAAGTCGTCCACTTAGGCGTGCCGCAGTGGTGGTGTGATTGGCTGGTGTTGTTGCTGGTTGTGCTCTTATTTTCGCCTTAGCCCTATTCGCAGTGCAGGAAAAGTCAAGGCAAAAAAAAGGAGGAAGAAAAGGCGGCACGCATCCTCAGCTGCAGAACGCCGTGGCTGAAAGCACCGCAGGTGCGCACACGCACACCCGACGCCCACTTCCCCACAGCAGCCGCGCAGGGGCTGCCGAAGCACGCCCCGTGAGAATCAGTTCACAAGTAAAGGCAAAAAAAAAAAAAACGTTTTCATTTGTCCAGCTCTCACTGCTAAGGACACACGTAAAACAAAGCGGCCATCCGGGTCCCATCGCCCCGCCGTGCCGCAGCCGCGCAGTGGCCACAACGTCAAGCGCACCGAAAATAAAACAAAATTTAAAAACAAAAATAAAAAACCTGCAAAAAGCAAAGAAACATTAAAACAGGCAAACAGAAAAAAAAAAGACTTCGCAGCCAATCCACACAGACACACAAAAAAAATCCAAGGTAAATTGCTAAAAAGAAAGGAAAACAAATGTTAACAAAGCAAATCAATCCATTTCCTCCGCCTCATAACGCCTCCGGCGGACAAACCGGCTGTAGCGGATGTGCACAAGAAACGAGAGGGCAGCCCCCAGAGCTTCCACACACTTGGAGACGATGATCGGCAGGCGCACGCACTCCGCCACGGTGCACCCCTCCTTTGGGTCAAGCCCAAAGCTGGCGTGCTTCGCGTCCACCACGTAGCCGAAGAGAAAACGGTTGAATCCGACGACGGAAAACACGGAGGTCAGAAAGCCGACATTGTAGTACACGCCATGGTTGCTCGCAAAGAGCGACGGAAACATGACAGCAGCAACAGCAGCAAACACGTCCTCTTCAAAGTACACGATGATGTACGGGAGCAGGATGGCCTCACCCGGGATCGTTAGGAGCAAGACGCCGGCAACAGCAGCAAGGAAAGGTGAGAGGGGCAACGCGAGCGTCACCAGGAACCGGCGGTTGTCGGCGGGCTGATGCTGCACAAAGGCCTCGAACATTCCCATGGCCATCCGCCCAATGCTGCTGGACACGCCGAGAAACGCGGTGTACAGGGCGGAGGTCTGCTGGCTCCGCTTATGCCCAGTCAACGCCACGGAGATGGTGCTTGCGTTGTAAACCACAATAACACCCATGGCGCTCTGGCAGATGAACGCGATGAATATCAGCCAAATGTCCGCCCGCTTCAGGTTGTCCCACACGGAGCCGCCGTAGCGGGGATCCTGCGGGGACTCTGAGTCGACGTCAGACACATTTGCGGCCTCGTCCGGCCCATTGTCCGGCCAATTTTTCGGGATATCTAGCAGCTCGGTGTCTGCAGGGTCGGGGCCCGCCTTATTGTCCCGGACAGGCAACGACTCCTCCTCCGCAGCATTGGCCCGCCCGGGCTCCTCCTCAGCGTCGCCGTCCATGCCGCCCAGCCACCGCACAGGCAGCAGCATCAGGAAGAAGCACAGCACGAGCGCAATCGTGATGACGCCGAGGGCGATGGAAGCCCCGCTCGACACCTTCGTGTAGCTCACCACGGGGGCCTGCACGGTGAAGAAGACCAGCAGCAGGGCCACAACGACGTAGCCGACGCCCAGGCGACGCACCGGGACGAAC